TGCTATCTCTCTCTCTGTCAAATAAATAAATAAAATCTTTAAAAAAAAAAAAAGAAAAAGAAACATAACCTATTAAAACTAAAGCAGGAGGAAATAGAAAATTTGAACAGACTGATTACCAGCAATGAAACTGAATCAGTAATCAAAAAACCAAAAATCAGAAGTCCAGGACCAAATGGCTTCACAGGTGAATTCTACTAAACATTTTTTTTTTTTTTAAGATTTTATTTGTTTGACAGAGAGAGACACAGCAAGAGAGGGAACACAAGCAGGGGGAGTGGGAGAGGGAGAAGCAGGCTTCCCGCTGAGCAGGGAGCCCTGTGCGGGGCTCAATCCCAGGACCCTAGGATCATGACCTGAGCTGAAGGCAGATGCTTAACGACTGAGCCACCCAGGTGCCCCTCTACTAAACATTAACTAAACAGAGTTAATACCTGTTCTTCTCAAACTATTCCAAAAAATAGAAGAGGAAGGAAAAGTTTGAAATTCATTCTGAGGCCAGTATCGATGCTGATACCAAAATCAGATGACACCACAAAAAAAGAGAACTACAGGCCAATATCTCGTATGTATATAAATGCAAAAATCCTCAATGAAATATTATCGAACCAAATTCGTAATATATTAAAAAAACCATACATCACGATCAAGTGGGATTTATTCCAGGGATGCAAGGGTGGTTTAATATTCACAAAATAATCAACGTGATACATCATCAATAGAAGAAAGGATAAAAACCATATGACCATTTCATTAGATGCAGAAAAAACATTTGACAAAGTACAACATCCATTTATGATAAAAACCGTCTGCAAATTAGGTCTAGAGGGAACAAAGCCCAACATAATTAAGACCTTATATGAAAAACTCACAGCTTACATCATTCTCAGTGGTGAAAAACTGAGACCTTTTTCCCTAAGGTGAGGACAGCACTACTTTTACTCAACATAGTACTGGAAGTCCTAGCCATAGCAATTAGACAACATAAAGAAATAAAAGGCATCCAAATTTAAAGGAAAAGTAAAACTCAAAATTCGCAGATGACATGATACTGTATGTAGAAAACCTTAAAAACTCCACCAAAAAACTACTAGAACTGATAAATGAATTCAGTACACTTGCAGGATGCAAAACCAATGTGCAGAAACTTGTTGCATTCCTATACACTAATAATGAAGCAGCCGCAAGTAAAATTAAGAAAACATTCCCATTTACAATTGTATCAGAATCAATAAAATATTTAGGAATAAACTTAACCAAAGAAGCAAAAGACTTTACTCTGAAAATTATAAAATACTGATGAAAGAAATTCAAGATGATATAAAGAAACAGACATTTATGCTCATGGATTGAAAGAACAAATATTGGTAAAAGTCTATACTACCCAAAGCAATCTACAGATTTAATGCAATCCCTATCAAATACCAACAGCATTTTTCACAGAACTAGAACAAACAATCATAAAATTTGTATGGAACTACAAAAGACCTCTAATAGCCAAAGCAATCTTGAAAAAGAAAAAACTGGAGGTATCACAATACCAGATTTCAAGTTATATTACAAAGCAGTAGTAATTAAAACAGTATGGTGCTGGCATAAAACTAGAGAGATCAGTGGAATAGAACAGAAAACCCAGAAATAAACCCACAATTATATGGTCAATTAATCTTTGACAAAGGAGGAATGAATATCAAATGGGCAAAAGACACTCTCTTCAACAAATGGTGTTTTGAAAGCTGGACATCCATATGTAAAAGAATGAAATTGTACCACTTTCTTTTTTTTTTCACCATACACCAAAGTAAACTCAGAATGGATTAAAGACCTAAATGTGAAACCTGAAACCATACAAATCCTTGAAGAGAGCATAGGCAGTAATTTCTCTGACACTGGTCATAGCAACATTTCTCTAGATACATCTCCTGAGCCAAGGGAAATAAAAGCAAACATCAACTATTGGGACTACATCAAAATAAAAAGCTTCTGCACAGCAAAGGAAATAATCAACAAAACCAAAAGGCAGCTTACTGAATGGGAGAAGATATTTGCAAATGGCATATCCAATAAAGGGTTAGTATCCACAATATATAAAGAACTGTTATAACTGAACACCCCAAAAACAAATCATCTAATTAAAAATCGGCAGAAGACATGAACAGGCACTTCTCCAAAGAAGACATCCAGTGGCCAACAGACACATGAAAAGATGCTCAATATCACCCATCATCAGGGAAATGCAAATCAAAACTACAATGAGATAATTCCTCACACCTGTCAGAATGGCTAAAATGAACAACACAAAAAACAGGTGTTGGCGAGGATTTGGAGAAAAAGGAACCCTCTTGCACTGTTGGTGGGAATGTAAACTGGTGCAGTTACTGTGGAAAACAGTATGGAGGTTCCTCAAAAAGTTAAAAATAGAGCTACCCTATGATCCAGTAATGGCACTACTGGGTATTTACCCCCAAAATACAAAAACACTGGGCGCCTGGGTGGCTCAGTTGGTTGAGCAACTGCCTTCGGCTCAGGTCATGATCCCGGAGTCCCGGGATCGAGTCCCACATCGGGCTCCCTGCTCGGCGGGAAGCCTGCTTCTCCCTCTCCCACTCCCCCTGCTTGTGTTCCCTCTCTCGCTGTGTCTCTCTCTGTCAAATAAATAAATAAAATCTTTAAAAAAAAAAAAATACAAAAACACTAATTCAAAGGGATACATACACTCCAATGTTTATAGCCCCATTATTTACAAAATAGCCAAACTATGGAAGCAACCCCAGTGTCCATCAATACGTGAGTGGCTAAAGAAGATATAGTACATTTATACAATGGAATATTCAGTTATAAAAAAAATGAAATCTTACCATTTGCAACAACATAGATGGAGCTAGAGAGCATAATGCTAAGTGAAATAAGTCAGAGAAAGACAAATACCATATAATCTCACTCGTATGTGGAATTTAAGAAACAAAACAAATGAGCAAAGAAAATAAAGAGAGGGGCGCCTGGGTGGCTCAGTTGGTTAAGCGACTGCCTTCGGCTCAGGTCATGATCCTGGATTCCCGGGATCGGGTCCCGCATCGGGCTCCCTGCTCGGCAGGGAGTCTGCTTCTCCCTCTGACCCTCCTCCCTCTCATGCTCTCTGTCTCTCATTCTCTCTGTCTCAAATAAATAAATAAAATCTTTAAAAAAAAGAAAATAAATAAATAAAAAAAAAAGAAAATAAAGAGAGGAGAGACAAACCAAGAAACAAATTAAGTATGGAGAACAAACTGATAGTTACCAGAGGGGAAGTGGGTAGGGGAGGGATGGCTGAAATAGGTAATGGGGATTAACAAGTAAAAAACAAAACCAACAAAACACAACAGCTCTCCTAAACCAAGTAGAAACCTAGGGCAGAAAGGAAAGGATTGACTAAGATGCAGAAGAAAGAACAGGATATTTTTCAGTAGACAGAGAGGAGCAGGCTTATGACTGGTTATTATTACCCCATCTTATGCCCTTTCAGCATATTGCTTCTTAAAGCACAAACCATGATAAATTCTTAAAATTGTAGTTTTATGTATATATATAATTACATATCTGTTATATCTGTTAGCCTCTGTTAATATGTGCTGGATTAAATGAAATAGGATCAAACAGTTCTCTGGGCTGAGAGATTCTACATTCATTTACTGAATTGTGATTTTAATAAATCTCATGACCTAAACCCATCTGTCTTCTCTTCTCCATTTTTGCATTCTCTTTATCTGTAGTTATCTTTTATTGAGAGTAAGGAGAAATACCTTATTTCTTTTGTAAGCAGTCCAAACTACTGGATTTTTGGGTTAAATTTGGTCATTGTTGAAAATAGCTCAGATTTTAAAATTTTTTCTTTAAAGCAGCATTATTATGTGTATTATGCAGCTTGAACAAATCAGTTGTAAAATAGATGCTTTTTTTGTTTTTCCATTAAACCATTAAATTACAAATGTCCACTTGTACTTCCCAATCAGACATTTCCTTTTAATTTTTCATTTCAAAATAGCTTAGAAGATTTTATTCTATATGATGTTTTTTATTTTTAGTGATACTTTTATTTTTTCATAATGATAATGTTTAAAAAATTTTTAAACTCTAATTTGTATTTCCTATGTAGAATTTTTAATAGTGTCATAAAATAACAACTTCTGATTTTTTGGTCTCTGTGGCCTATGATGTTAATTTTTTGTTACTACATTTGCTATTAATGATTTTGCTAAAATGTTTATAAATGTTATATAAACATAATTTGTAATGATTCAAAGAGGATACATTATGGGTTAACACTGTATGATGGATCTTAGCAAGGGTAATTAGCATGTATTTGAATTAGCATGTATTTGTTTTAAAGATTCCTCCATGATTTGCATGATTCAGTTGTTTGTTCTTTTTTATTGCTGTGTGGTATTTTATGAATATGTACAATTTATCCAATGTACTTTTGATAGATAGTTAGATTGTTTGCAGTTTTTTGCTATTAACATATTGTGCTGCTGTGGACTTCATTATGCTTGTCTTAGTGAATTCAGTCTTTTTTTTTTTTTCCAAGAGTCTTTTAAAATCTGTAACAATTCTCCTTCCCTCTTTTCTGTTGCCATTTACTTGTTGAAGAAATGGGATCATTTTTCCTACAGAAAAATTCTGGAGTTTTTCACAGCCTTGTTATGGTAGTGGTTGTTTTGTTAATGTACAACCTTATGTTGAAATTGATCTGTCACCTCAAAAAATTAATAGATAAATGATTCAAATAATTTCAGGTGATTTTTCCCTTTAAAAAATCTTCCAATAGGATCTGACTTTTTAATTGTTAGCATGGGTTACTTTTATAATAATAAAAAATCAACATTTAAAAAAACATTCCTTTTATGTTAGTAATGTATTAGTAGTATATTAATACTTCTGATTGCTTTTTATTTTATAATTGTGTATTGTGTTTTAAGTGAAAGTAAATAGTAATGATGTCCTTTGTATATTTCCTTTAATAGGTTTGATATTAATGTGCTGTCAAAATTTTCCTCTTGCCTAGCAAATCAGCATTTATATTTCAGTCCATTAATGGGAAAAATAGCTGATATTGTACATAGGAACCTGGAAACCATAGAGGACTTAAGGTAAATGTATTTAAGGTAGATATATGGTAGAGAGATTCTGGGCTTTGGATGCACACACACTTAGATTTGCCACTTACTACCTATGTGACTTTAATCTCTTGAAACTTTAGTATCCTTATCTATAAAACAGTACTACTTTGGAATCTCCTTTGCAATGTTGCTGTGGAAATTAGAGATAAAGTATATAAAGTATAACATGATATTGTTGAGCTCTGTGAAATATTTAGATTTTACTTTACTTGCAAGCTACAGGTTTGCCTGTCCCCAGTGGTCTCATTTAACTTTAATTACCTTCCTAAAGATTCTGTCTCAAAATATACTCACATTGAGGGCTAGGCCTTTAATATATGGAGTTTGCGGGGGACACAGTTCAGTCTGTAGCACGTATCAGTGTTGATAGCATCATTATCATAATAGTCAAAAGGTGGAAATAGCCTAAATGTCCATTGATAGATGAAGGGACAATCAAAATGTGGTATATAGCTACAATGGGATATATTCAGCCTTATAATTATAGGAAGGAAATTCTGTTACATGCTACAACATGGGTGACATTATGCTAAGTGAAGTAAGCCAAACACAAAATGACAAATACTGTATGATTCCACTTAAATGAGCTCCCAGAGTAGTCAAATTCATAAAAACAGAAAGTAGAATGGTTATTGCTAGGGGCTGGCAGGGGTGAAGAATTGAGAGTTACTGTTTAAATGGATAAGGCATTTTAGTTTGAGAAGATGAGAAAGTTCTGCCGATGGATAGTGGTAATGGTTGCACAACACTGTGAGTATACTTAATACCACTGAACTGTACACTTAAAAATGTTTAAAATGGTAAATTTTATGTTATATATATTTTCACACACATATAGCAAAGTAGCTTGTAAAAGCAGAGAAAATAAAAGTCAGTGTAAATTTTTTTAACTTTAAAAAATTCTTATAGATCCCTTTGAGAATCTACTAAAATCTTTGGACATTTCCCTACTCTAATCTGCAATTACAGATATACATACAATTAAAAAAAATCATTTCAGAGGGTTTATGGTTAAATGAAATAGCAATGTTAAGTTACTAATTGTTGCTAAATATTAACATGAAACATTTGAGTAGAGAAGTCAAAGTATTGTACAACTGGGTTTTTAAAATATATTTATTTTATTGGAAAGGTTGAAGAAATTTGAAAACAAAAATAAATGCAAACAGTCCCCTAACCTAATGGTTGAGATAGTTTTATATTTACATTTTTGTGTCTTTTCTGTAAATGTTTTATAATTATCATCCCTGAACATTTGTTATATACCTTTTCCATTTTGCATTCCTTATTCTTATGGGTGCATTCTTGTATTTGTAGTTTTCTGATTTTTGTATTATGTTAAGATCTGTGTTTTGAAAGCAGGGACCTCACCTTTGTAATTTTGAAGTCTCCCTCAATGCCTGGAAGAATGATTTATGTTCCTTAAAAGTAATTTTTAGTGAAGAAATATTAAATGCTACCTTATATTCAGTACTTGCTGTCATATATTACTATCTACCTAGCATGAGACATTAAAAAATATAAAGTCATTTATTAGTGAGAAATATTTTACCAAGAGTTTTATTCGTAAGTTATCGATACACAGAGAAAGGAGTAACAAAGCGAAGTCTACTGCCAAAAATATAAATTGAGACTTTTAATGTTGTATTCATGGGCTTTTGGTCCAAAGTGATTTCTGAGTGAATTTCACTAAAATATTTTCCTTCAAGGCAGTTATCTATAGAGTAAGATATTATACACAGTTAACAAAAGCTACTGTAATTTATTTATTTTTTATCTAAAGGCATTTGATTACTAGGAGGTCTGCGTTCAAGTCCTGTAAGAATATTTAAAGGAAAAATTTTGTGGTAAAAATCCATAATTTTTTTTTAAAGATTTCTTTATTTCTTTATTTGACAGAGAGAGAGACAGCGAGAGAGGGAACACAAGCAGGGGGAGTGGGAGAGGGAGAAGCAGGCTTCCCGCCGAATAGGGAGCCCGACATGGGGCTCGATCCTAGGACCCTGGGACCATGACCTGAGCCGAAGGCAGACGCTTAATAAAATCCATAATATTTTAACTAGTTCTTTTCTGTATCTAATCATTTAGTCTTAGAGTTGTTCTTTATTCTTAAATAAGGTGAAAATCTGCATCTTTTTCCTTTTTAGGTCCCTGTCTGTATTGATGGTCAGCATATCTTCTTTAATATCACAACGTTTTCAAGAACAATTAGTGAACAAAACAGAACATCTTTTTGATACCATAGATTCTTCCCAGGTCAACGTTGCAAGAAGAATAGTACAATTTCTTCGAAATACTAAATATAGTTATTATCCACTCTTAGAAATGTGCAATAAAGTGTTTTTAAGCAATATGAACCACCTTGATTTGGACTCCATCAGTAAAATACTTAGTCTATATCACTTTCTACAGTTTCATAGTTTTGAATTTGTTAAAATGGCTAAAAAGAGGCTAACTGAAATGATTCCTCTGTTTGATCACCCTGATGGCTTTGTAAAACTGTTTGTAGCATTGGGACCTATTGCAGGACCTGAAGAAAAGAAACAGTAAGTTCAGCTAAAAATGCTTTACTTTTCTTGTAACTGCTTGGAGCCTTGCAAGCTTAGACCTCCTTGCAGTTCTGGAAGGCACACATCACTCCATGCAGCCCTGGAAGGGAGAATAATCTCTTATGTCTGCTCCTTGATTCCTTCTCTGATTATTTTAGTTTACATCTCAAGCTCTTAGTCCACTGTTAAATTCTGAGAAAGAGCCAATAACTCCATTGTGGTGACCAACACAAGGAAGGATGAGGGAGATGGATATTCTCTGTGGAGAGTACCGTTTTAAGTGTTTTTATTCTCCCTTCCTGGCCCATATGATTGACTTTACACACAGATATAAGACTCTCCCACCTCCAGTATAGGGTGTAGAATATTCAGAATTATAATAGCCTTAACAATGGACCATTCTATCCTTTGTCGTCTTTATATTTGTCATCAAAGGCATTTCTTTTTTTTTTTTTTTTAAGATTTTATTTATTTATTTGAGAGAGAGAGAATGAGAGAGAGCAAGCACATGAGAGGGGGGAGGGTCAGAGGGAGAAGCAGACTCCCCGCTGAGCAGGGAGCCCGATGCGGGACTCGATCCAGGGACTCCAGGATCATGACCTGAGCCGAAGGCAGTCGCTTAACCAACTGAGCCACCCAGGCGCCCATCAAAGGCATTTCTTTAGCACCTTGGTAAATGTTCCCTTGTCAGGTTGGAGTGAATTTCATCTTTTTCCTATCTTTTAAAAATTCCCAGTTTTGCCAGATATTGATGTAGATAGAACTGCTTGGGATATAAAGATGGGCAAGCATTAAATTAATACATGATTACTAGGTATGAGCAAAGAGAGAAGTATGATTAGTAGATTCAGTTAAGCAGGAGTTCCAAGAGTTGCATAATAGAGGTATCTACATCATTACTCTCTTACCAAAAGATTCATGGAGAGTTTTATTTTTAAGGGTCCTTTGAATTATATGAAGACATTTAAGGATATATTTTAAGAGACTGTTCAAGATGGGAACAAGATAACTACTTAAAAAGCTTTTATTGAAAAAAAATTTTTTTTTTTTTTTGGGTCACCAAGTACTGTTGGAATCTCATATGCTAAAGCAGTACAAAAGTTGAATTTAATTGGGTCCCTGCCTTTAAGGAATTTATATTCCAACTGGGAGGATAGAAATGTATATATAATAAAAATGTGTAAATACCATGATATTGCAATATCATTATGAATAGGTACTCAAATTAGTGATAGAGATAGTAGATAGGAAAATGAGAGAAAAATGTGGACATAAATGGCTGGGAAAATCTTTGAGGAGAAGCTGGGTTTGAAATGTTTGATAAGGTTTATGAAAAGGATGGTGTAGAGCTATCCGGTAAGAATAGAGAATTAGTTTTTCCTGTTATCTTCAGATTTCATATTTTGGGCTTGTTTTCTAAATTATTCTATAGGGGCACCTGGGTGGCAGTTGGTTAAGCCTCTGCCTTCAACACATAATCCTGGGGTCCTGGGATGGAGCCCTGCCTGCACTGGGCTCCCTGCTCAGTGGGAGCCTGCTTCTCCCTCTTCCTCTGCTGCTCTCCGTGGTTGTGTACTCTCTCTCTCTCACAAATAAATAAATAAAATCTTTAAAAAAATAAATTATTCTAAAAGATACAGTTTTATATAGATACTCGTATTAGTGCATGCACTACTTTGGATGGTTTCAAAATGATTGTCTTTGTAAATTTTCAGTTTATAGTGTCACAGCAAGTATTTAGTGTATGAGATTTCTGTTAATATGCAGGTATATTGACTTTCTGATCGGATCTTACTCAATTTAAGGTAATTGGGATATTGTTAGAATGTCAGTTTTTAGTTCTTTAGCTCTGTAGTACTAAATAATTTCACTGAATCGTTGTACTTATAATCATTATAACCTTATTTGAATATCACTTTAAAAACCTTTTGTCTGGAGCGCCTGGGTGGCTCAGTCGGTTAAGCGACTGCCTTCGGCTCAGGTCATGATCCTGGAGTCCCGGGATCGAGTCCCGCATCGGGCTCCCTGCTCAGCAGGGGGTCTGCTTCTCCCTCTGACCCTCCTCCTTCTCATGCTGTCTCTCATTCTCTCTGTCTCAAATAAATAAATAAAATCTTTAAAAACAAAACAACAACAACAAAAAAAAACAAAAAAACCCAAAAAACCTTCTGTCTGTATTTTTTAAGAGCCAGTTTAAGATTAGAGTGTACTGAAGCCTTAATTCCTTTGATAAAAACAATATATTTTTCTTTATTCAGTCATTTATATTCTCCCCTATTATGTGGGGAGAAAATTGATACTGCATATTGAATTCAGTTTTTGTTTGTGTTTCTTTTCTATTCATTACCTAAGAACTTATTTATTTTTTTAAAGATTTTATTTATTTATTTATTTATTTTAAAGATTTTATTTATCTATTTGACAGAGAGAGACACAGTGAGAGAGGGAACACAAGCAGGGGGAGTGGGAGAGGGAGAAGCAGGCTTCCCGCTGAGCAGGGAGCCTGATGTGGGACTCTATCCCAGGACCCTGGGGTCATGACCTGAGCCGAAGGCAGACGCTTAACGACTGAGCAACCCAGGCGCCCCAAGATTTTATTTATTTATTAGAGAGAGAACGAGCAGAGGGAGGGGGAGAGAGAGAAGCAGGCTCCCCACTGAGCAGGAGCCCCATGTGGGGCTCGATCCTAGGATCCTGGGATCTGACCTGAGCCGAAGGCAGCCACTTGACCAACTGAACCACCCAGGCACCTTACCTAAGAACTTATTTTAAAAAAGAACTTTTTATAAGCTAATCATCAGTTCTTCAACATAAAAATATTTTTCTTTACTTCTAGACTTAAATCAACTCTGTTACTGATGTCAGAGGAGCTAACCAGACAGCAGGCCCTGGCAGTGATGAGAGCAATGGAAGAGATGGAAAGCAGAAATTCACATCTGATTAAAAAGTAGTCTTTCCTGAAATTCATGGTGTTAATGTTTAGTTGTCATCCATAAGTAACTTTTTTTGAGGATGCATTATGTTTTTTTCTATAATCTAGCTGTTGGTTTTGAAGAAATAAGGAATTAACACTTAAGGCGTTGTTCATTATCTAAATAGTTTGTTTTTTAAAATAGAGATGTTTAAATTGTTTATAGCATTTTTCATTTCATTTGCTGCTGTTGTTATTTTCAAGCAGAGGATCATAATCTAGGAAAGTAGAGAGCATCTATGTGAACTTGAATTGTTTCACACCACAATTACCTTGAAATCATACTGCCATATATTGTCTTTTTTTTTTTAAAGAAATTTAAGAAAAAAAAAATACATAGTTCAGATTATATATACTTAATGTTTTATTATCTATTATATGATCCTTTTTAAAGTATTCCTTCTGCCCCATTTCTTCCAACATATTCCCTCTTAGCATTTCTTATTGCTTTTAATCCATTCCATTAGAGGGCCAGTGAATTAAGGAAGAAAATTAAATCAGTTTTGCTAATTGTTAGTAACTCTTGGTAAAGATTTCTTTGTGGGGAAGATGTGGAATTTAATGGCTGTTCTGTGAGTTTTTTTTATTTAGAAAGTGACACTTTATGCTTTTCTCTCCTATTGCTATTAATAATTACATATTTACACTTCATTGATAGCTCTTCTGTCATTCTATCTTAATTGTTTATGTTTCTGTCACCATTTTGAGACTGCTCTTTAAGAGCGGAAAACCTTATTTCATTCATTGCTGCTTCTCCAACATAGAGCATGTCTGGCATGAAAGAGCTCCTCAGTAAATACTTAATACAAAATGAATGAGTTGATTGTAATATATGTTTTATCATTCTTTATAGAATTGCTTCAATTCTGCATAAACATTTGGATAACTATAAACCAATAGAGTTATTGAGGATAACTCAAGCATTGATTTTTCTACATTTTCAAAGTAAAGAGCTTTTTGTGAAACTGAGAGAATTACTGCTTAGGTAAGGTTACGGTGTTTATTTATTTTATAATCTAGACTCAATGTTTGTTTTGTTTGATTATGTAGAGAGTTGTTGGAACTTTTGGAGGCAGAATTAAGTGGCTTGTTATTTAAAATGTTAACACACTTACCTCTCCCCGTGTGCATTCTGCCAGTGCTCATGCTTGGTATATTCTGAAATGAAGCCAGTTGGTGATGAGTTCCCCAGGCATGAATAACAGTAAAAGCCAAGGCATTTTCCTGTCCTGCAAGAATACAATAACTATGAAAAGATTGGAGCTGCCCAACAAGGCAAAACTTCCATTTGGGAGCATTTATATTTAGGGGCCTTCAGTCTGCTTACATGCCTGTTTTAAGGCATGTTAGATTGTTTTAAAGCATATTAAATTTTTTAATTTGTAATTTTTAAAATAAAATATTTAAGAGTAATGTTACTGAAAAAGTATTTTACCTTTATAATTTAATGTTTTCTGTTTTTCTATGGCTATAACATTCATATTTTAACAGGGAAGTTACTCAGTTTTCCAAGTATGCTTATGGAAATGGAGTCAAAATGGACTTTTACATGAAAAGGTTTTTTATTTTAACAATCAGAATAATGACTTGAATGAAACTAAAATTAGATTAATCTTTTTCTCCATTTTTCTATGATTTCTGATTTTGATTCCTGGAAGACCAGGCATGGGACTCTATGCCATAATCAAAAGGATTGGTGTAGAGTTGAAAATGATTTTAATTATAGTAAAATGATATGCCATTAAGGTTAAGAAGGATTTGAATTGAAGAATAAGAATTGGCACTTTATCAGGTGCTTATTAGGTATGTTAGTAGAAAGTTCACCCTTTTCTTAAAGAAATAACTTTTTTCAGGGCGCCTGGGTGGCTCAGATGGTTAAGCATCTGCCTTTGGCTCAGGTCGTGATCCCAGAGTCCTGGGATCGAGTCCCGTGCTCCCTGCTCAGCGGGGAGCCTGCTTCTCCCTCTCCTCCTGCTCCTCCTGTTTGTGCGCTCTCACTCTGTCAAATAAATAAATGAAATCTTAAAAAAAGAAAAAAAAAAAGAACCTATACAAAAAAAAAAAAAAGGAAATAACTTTTTTCTTACCAAGGTGATTATATGCAGGATTATTGTTTCTTCATCCTTTTCATATTTAGCATAGACTTTTTTTTTAAAAGATTTTAATTATTTGACAGAGAGAGACACAGCGAGAGAGGGAACACAGGCAGGGGGAGTGGGAGAGAGAAGCAGGCTTCCTGCGGAGCAGGGAGCCTGATGCGGGGCTCGATCCCAGGACCCCGAGATCATGACCTGAGCCGAAGGCAGACGCCTAACGACTGAGCCACCCAGGCACCCAGCATAGACTTTTACATAGCCTCTGAATGTAGAATTTTATGTTCTAAATTAAGTATCATAAACTGGCCCAGGGACATGGTTTATTTGGTCTGCACAATGTTTTTTAAAAAGTGAAATCACACAGTCCTGTTTGCCTATAGATATGTTAACAGAAAAGTAAGAACAGAAGTGGGAGTGTCAAAGGGAATTCCGCTTTTCCCGTGATGTTTTATTTCCTTTGTAAAACGACTTGAAGCAAATACGATAATGTTAAAATCTAGTAATTCTGAGTAGTGAGGGCCCTTATACATCTCTGGAGTTTAAAATCTTATCAAAAAGTTAGTTGGAGGATGTTGTATGGAAATCATAGGTGCTTACTTTCCCAGTATCAAATAGACTTTAGAAGGAACACAGTCTAATTAAACTATTCACATAACTATTACTATAAATAGCCCCTGAAGCCATTCAGGGAACACAGGGAATTCATATACTAGAATAATGTGGCCTTTTTTTTTTTAACCATATTGAAATGTAATCTACATAAAATATATCTTTCTCCTCCTCATTACTTTGCTTCCCTGTCCCCCAGGTTAACTACTACCTCTAGTTCCAACTACATGGATTAGTTTTGCCTATTTTGTGTGTCTATTGTGTCTGGCTTCTTTTGCTCAATAATTATGTTTATGAGATTTACCCATGTTTTTGCTGTATTGTGTTCTCTTTGTAAGGATATAACAAAAATATTTTTATCCATTCTACTGTTGATGGATATTTTATTTATTTCCAGTTTTTGGCTATTATGAATAGTGCTGTTATGAATATCCTGAATATAATGAATAGTGCTGTTATGAATATCCATATCTTTTAGTAAACATATGTATGCATTTCTGTAGATATTTACCAAAGAGTGTAATTGTGGGTTCATAGGTTATACATACGTTGTTCATCCTCAGTAGATCTGGTAAATGGTTTTCTAGAGTGACTGTATCAGTTTATATTCCCAGTAGCAGAATGTGAGCTGAGCATGCCTGTTGCCCCACATCCCTGCCAACACTTGACATATTTTTATTTTCCAATTTTAGCCATGCTGGTGGGTGTGTGGTGTATTGTAAATAAACACGCATGCACATGTAAGTTTTGGAATTTGAAGAAGTGTTTCCAGAAAAAATATCAGGTGGAGGTTGGAGAGATTGTATCTTTTGGGGGTTTATTTTTAGACAATTATTACAAGGTTGGTTCATATTGAGAGTTCTACCCCTTAGGTCAATTCTGCAAACATAGCTTCTGGGGCTTTCTTTATATAAAAGGGTATATTTATTTTTTGTGGTTATAAGAATAAAATATTCATTTAGTACTAATCGAGTACCTACTTTGTGTCATGCAGTGGGCCAAATATCATATAAAAATCATTTTGAAAATTTTGGAAAATAGAAAAAAGTATAAAAGAGAAAATAAAAATCAGTCCTAAACTCATTTATCCACTGACAACAATTTGATTTATTTACCTGTGATATGTACTTAACTTACATGTGTGTATAAAATTTTTCTTCCCTCCTCCTTGAGAATACAGTTTTGTACTTTTTTCCCCCACTTAACCTTACCCACTTAGCATTTTCTCACATCATTTAGAACTATTTGTATATCTTTTTAATGACTGGATATTACCCATCATATGACTATACCATAATTTATTTAAGTGTTCTCTCATTGAACATTTAGTTTTCAAATTTTAGCCATGTAAAAATATGATACATAACACAAATCTTTGCTAGCATTTTATCTATTTTTCTGTTGTAATCCTGTGTATTTAAAAAAAATTTTTAGGAGCTTCTGGGTGGCCCAGTCAGTTAAGCGGCTGCCTTTGGCTCAGGTCATGATCCCAGGGTCCTGGGATCGAGCCCCACGTCAGGTTCCCTGCTCGCTTCTCCCTCTCCCTCTGCCTGCTGCTCTGCCTACTTGTGCATTCTCTCTGTCAAATAAATAAAATCTTCAAAAAAAAATTTTTTTTAATGAAGTATAGTTGCCATTTGCTCACATTTTAGATTCTTTTTTTTTTGAAGATTTTATTCATGAGAGACAGAGAGAGAGAGAAGGCAAAGGCAGAGGGAGAAGCGGGCTCCCTGCTCCACAGGGACTCGATCCGAGGACCCCAGGATCATGAGCTGAGCCGAAGGCAGATGCTTAACTGACTGAGCCACCCAGGCGCCCTTTAGATTATTTTCTTAGTCTGGTTTCCTAGACCGGGATTGACCATGTCAAATGATATTACTTTTTAAGTTTAGTAAGTAAAGGAGAATGCCTGTGTCGATGGGCCTTACTAGCATTGCTATTATGATTATTTTAATATGCTAATTTAATATTTTAAAAAGGAACTCAACAACTTCATTTTAATTTACATTTGATTTTTTCTAGTACTTCTAAGCCAAAAGATTCTTTAAAAGCTCCCAACTGTTGAATCACAGATCTGTACCTCTGAAACAAATAATGCAATATATGTTAAGGAAAAAAAAAAAAAGAAGAAGAAAGCAGGAGGGGAAGAATGAAGGGGGGGGAAATCAGAGGGGGAGATGAACCATGAGAGACAATGGACTCTGAAAAACAAACTGAGGGTTCTAGAGGGGAGGGGGGTGGGAGGACGGGTTAGCCTGGTGATGGGTATTAAAGAGGGCACGTTCTGCATGGAGCACTGGGTGTTATACACAAACAATGAATCATGGAACACTACATCAAAAACTAATGATGTAATGTATAGTGATTAACATAACAATAAAACACTAAAAAAAAATAAAAGAAAAAACAAATAAAAGCTCCCAACTTTTAATTTGTAATTTAACAACTGCTGTCCTGGTGGCTGGACTCTTACTCTGGGGGTGGGACTGTTACCATGGGAATTTGGGAAAAGAGGAGCGAGAAGGGAACTAGTGTCACTGAGTGATCACTGTATGGCAGGGCCTATACTAGGTCATACCAGCTCCTAACAGGTCATATCAAACATTCAGCCCAAAATCTGTCTCTAGCAACAGCACTGGAAACATTGTTTTGACCCTGATCTTTGGTATGTTAGGGACTGTGGTTTCATTTTTGCATAAAATATTTGAGATGTGCCTTAGAAAATCTTAAGACTTCTCGTGGTAGTCCTTTGTGGACCTGTCATCTTTGAATTTATCTAATCCTTCTTAAATTAACTTGTATTTTACACCTACCACACCTGTTAATTATAATAATAATTATGTATTCAGACTTTAAGTACTTTTCATTTTGTTGCTGATTTATTAATTTTGATCTTTTCATTTTCATTTTCTCCCCCTTCCTTATAGATATTTGAAAATTAGTGTTATACCTAGTGAGATTTCCATCCTGGTCTATGCTCTGTCCATTCTTCCATCTCCTCACCTAGATGAAGTGGGGATATCTCGAATTGAAGCCATTTTACCGCAGTGTGACCTAAATGACCTGAATGGTTTTGCTACATCTGTTTTAAGATGGATTCATTATGATCACAAATATCTGGATAATACCACTGGGAAACAACTGAAACTGCTTCAAAAACTAGATCACTATGGTCTTCAGAGACTACGAAAATACAACAATTTGAATCTTTTAAGGGAAGAACTTAAATCTTTAAAAGGAGACTGGTTTGCTGAGTCACTTCTTGAAGAAACAGCTGGTACTTTACACCGTTTGATGGATGAAATTAATTACAAAAATGTTGCAGAGATTGCATCTTTTATTGCTAGAACTAACTACCTCAGTACTTTGCTACTTGATAGGATAGCCTCAGTGGTTGTTCAGCAGATTGAAAAGGTGAAATTGAGTTTTAAATAGTTGTCAACTTCTAAAAGCATAAATATTTATCATAAGTATTTTGAGAACTTAATTGTAATTGGAATTTTATTATTTTTTATTTTTTATTTTATTTTATTTATTTTATTTATTTTTTAAGATATTTATTTATTTATTTATTTGAGAGAGAGAGAATGAGAAAGAGCGAGCACATGAGAGGGAGGAGGGTTAGAGAGAGAAGCAGACTCCCCGTTGAGCAGGGAGCCCGATGCGGGACTCGATCCAGGGACTCCAGGATCATGACCTGAGCCGAAGGCAGTAGCTTAACCAACTGAGCCACCCAGGCACCCTATTTTTTATTTTTTAAAAGATTTTGTTTATTTGGGAGAGAGAGCGCGCATGCGAACTTGAGCAGGGGTGGGTGGGGGAAGGGCAGAGGGAGAGGGACCAGCAGACTCTCAGCTGAGCAGGGAGCCCAACACTGGGCTGGATTCCAGGACCCTGAGATCATGACCTTAGCTGAGGGCAGATGCTTAACTGACTGAGCCACCCAGGCACCCCTGGAATTTGAATTTTAAAAATTCAATTCTAGCGTCTGGTTCAGCAATTTGTTTCTCTAAAGTTGTTTCCTCCAGCAGTGTAGATCTGGGGAGTATAGCAGTCATCTTTTGGTTCACTATGATATTTTTAAGATCTGTAGTCAAAATTTATTGTCTAGAAAGAAATACTTAAAACAATACTGTTTTAAGAAAATGAAGTATGAATGATTTTTGTTTTATTTTCTATAATCCTATGGTACTACCTTTATCTTTAAGAACAACTACATTCAAAAGTGTGAAAAATGAGGAAAACATAAGGTGTACACTGACTTCTATATTCTTAAATTGTCAGTGTGTCTTCTTACAAATTTATTTCTGGCTTACTCCTAAAATGTTGCTTTTTGGATTATGTGAGAAGAAATTCACTTATTAAATCTATATCGGGATAAGGCTTTTACTTAGGAGACAGTATTTCTCCCAAAATAAAATAAAAGTCTGTCCTACTTGTTTAGCATAGTACTTGGCAGTCATTAAGTTTTAGATGAATGAGTGAATAATGAAATTTTAAAAATGAATGAAAGAAAAATGAATGAAAGAAAAATGATTATAAACTAACTTCCTTAATTACATTATATGATGAGTCTATAAAATGCACTGAGATCATGGAAATTAGTAATACTATTTCCTATTCATTTTAATGATTAATGAATTCTGGAACAGGATTTTACACCTAACAAAAATAATTTGCAGATTATCTGATTTTTTTCTGCATTGATAGTTAGAGTTACTAGAAACTAGTGGTGGGACTAAATAGATTATAGCAGGGTGGAAAAAGTAATAAGTAGTGATGCATTTATCATTTTACTTCTAGGCATGTTAGAAAAAGATTTCTACCGAAAATAATAATTAGGTTAAATTTTTGTTTTATTTTACTGAAGTTTAAACTATAACATTTTGTTGTGTTTATACAGATCCACCCTTTTGTGATCCTTGGTATTATTCCTCCATTTAGCATCTTGAACTATGATCCACCTCAAAATGATGAATTTTTCAGGATTTGCATTCAATACCTGAATTCTTACTTAAGTAGGTATATTGTTCGGTAATACATTGAGTAAGTAGGTTGGAGAATACCATTGCCACTGTGGTAAGAGAGAGCTCTCATTTAAGGGGTAACTATAAGAACCATGAGTTCTAGACCTAAAAAAAGTTGTACCCATTTTTGAAACATTTTTATTATGAAAAATATCAAGCTTAAGGAAAAAATGGAAAGAATCAAAGAGTGCCTGTATACTCACTGGGCAGACTTAGTAATTGTTAACATTTTATCCTATTTGCTTTACTGTTTCTCTTGCTCTCTTATTTTTTTCGGAACCATTTCACAGTAAGTTGTAGGCATCATGACCCTTCACCCCTAATTGCTTAGGCGTATGCCTGCTAAGAATAATGACCTCTTATATCACCACAATACTATTATGACACCTGAGAAAATTAATAGTCCCTAATATCTAATACACAGTCCATGTTTAAATCTCCCTCATTCGTCTCAAAAATGGTTATTTTGGACCCAGCATCCACTCACTGCATTAGGTTGATACCTCTTTGGTCTTTTATAGTCTAAATACTGGTTGTTGTTTTTTTTCCTTACCCCTGCCATTGACTGACACCATGATATGATAACCATGTCTGATACTACTTTGTGAATAGACAAGTAAAATGGGCTGCTGTGATATGTTTATATTTAGTCATGAATGGGCGTATGCATGTGTGGCATTCATGTATACCTCTTTTTAGTAACATAATTATGTAGAAAGAGGAGATTTGAAACTGAGACTTAGTATGCTCTCCTGGTTGTTCAGTCTTGTGCCAACAACCAGAAGGAAGTGAAAGCACATCTTTTTTTAAAAAATAAATAGAGAGTTTAAGAGAAGAAAGGTTGAGAAATACAGCTTTGATTTTTTTTTTTTTTAAGCCTTACCAAGAGAATGTTTGGAAAATCCTTGGATACCTTTATAAGTAAAATTTTAAGTAATGGCATAATAATTTTATTCTGAATAAATATTAGATTTGACAGGTCACTATTAACCTCATTTATGATTTGATCTTGATTTATTAAATAAACTCAGCAAACAATCCAAAAGGAAAGATTTAACATCTTTTTTGTCCTTTCTAAGAATATTGCTGCCAGTAGGGACCCCTTCCTTCTCATCAGAAATGTCTCTTGGACGAGGCAAATCAGCTAAATAACCTCAGTCTTGTACTCTGGGACATGTGCCATGCTGTTGGGTGACAGTTAAGGGAGGAGGTGCTATTTGAAACTTGAGCTTCATATGTGTCTACACTCAGCCCGGATATTTGAGATCCCTAACAGCAGCACAGAATAGTAGTCCAGGCTCCGGAGCTGGGCTCTCAGGGTTAAACCTCACTGCCACTTGCTAACTGTGTGACTGTAGGCAAGTCGTTTAACTTCTCTGTGCCCCTGTACACTTATTTACAAAGCGGAGATAATAATTATTCCTGCTGTATACTGAAATGAGATTTCAATGAGTTAATATATGTAAAGAGCTTAGAATGATACCGAACACATTCTGAGCACTATTATATTGTTATCATCAATACATAGAGACTCAGGCCACTTATTACATACACTACTGACCTTTTGTTTTGAGTTCTTTCTCTTTACAAAGCAATTTTTGAAACTTCTTATGAAGTAAAATAATAATATAGGAATATTTACATATCCTTAGCACATAGTATGAATTTATATAAATTGAATCACCCAAGGAGTCAATACCCAGGTGAAGAAACAGTATTACCACAGTGTCCTCTCCTGTCCCCCTTTCCTACTCTACTCCCACCCAAAGGTAAGCACTTCACTACTATCCTGACTTGTAACAGTATAGATTAGCTTTGTCAAGGCTGTGTTTGTATCATTATTTTAAAACCCAGCTTGACCTGAATAAAGTGTGTGCATGTATATGTGAGGTGGCTGTACATTATAATTTTTTTATCTTAATTTTGTTTTAGGTGGATTGGATCCTTTCATGTTAGTGTTTCTTGGTTATTCTTTGGCCATACTTGGATATTTTCCGGAAGATCTGCTGAAGGCAATTTTTAACATCAAATTCTTAGCCAAAATGGATTCTCAACTTGAATGTGTGTATCTACATTTTTTAATTTTAATTTTAATTTTTTTAATGATTTTATTTATTCATTTGAGAGAGAGGAAGCACAAGCAGAGGGAGGGGCAGAGGGAGAGAGAGAGAGGGAGAAGCAGGCTCCCCGCTGAGAAGGGAGCCTGATGTGGGGTTCAATCCCAGGACCCTGGGATCATGACCTGAGCTGAAGGCTGATGCTTAACCTACTGAGCCACCCAGGTGGCCCTGTATCTACATTTTAATTTATTAAACTATTACCTATACTTTATATCCAAGTTTCAACTCTACCTATACTAAAGCATTTAAATGTTAACATATTTTTTTTCTGTTTATGAAAGTATTTCCTTCTTACGGAAAATTTGGAAAACAGGAAAGTATAAAATAGAAGATAAAAGATTACTCATAATCTTACTACCAAGTGAAACTACCACTTTTAATAATATTTTGGAGTGTATCTTTCTTTTCTGTCTCTCTCCTGCTCTTATGTGTATGTTTATATATCTATATGTATTTTATTTTATTTTATTATTATTATTTTTAAAGATTTTATTTATTTATTTATTTGAGAGAGAGGATGAGAGGAGAGAGAGAGCACATGAGAGTGGGGAGGGTCAGAGGGAGAAGCAGACTCCCTGCTGAGCAGGGAGCCTGATGCGGGACTCGATCCCGGGACTCCAGGATCACGACCTGAGCTGAAGGCAGTTGCTCAACCAACTGAGCCACCCAGGCTCCCCTCTATATGTATTTTAAAACAAAATTTGGATTATTAGTATATTCACTTTTGTATGTTGCCTTTGTCACTGAACTGTATTTTGAACAGTTTTGCATGCCATTAAATATTTTTTGGTATCATGATTGTTTTAGTGTTTATGTAATCGGCTATGATAGGAATGTAATAACATTTGTTATCATGTAGGTTGTTTCCAATTCTTCATTATAAATAATGATTATTATACATGAATCATTGACCTCATCTTTGTTTCTTTAGGATAGATACCTAAATGTGGAATATTAGGTCAATGAAAATTATTTGGTGGTATTTTTAAAAATGTAGTTGTAATATTCATGATTAGTGATTATGACATAGGAGTTAGTCCTAATCTTGCCACTGAATAATTTAAAAATATAAAGCATGTGTGTGCAAATGAAACAATTTTATAAGGTGAGAATAAAAGTACTAACAAATAATGGGGATAAATGAATGTGAAAAAAATGGATTGTCTTTGTTAGGTCCAACCTGTCAAAATCAATTAATATTTTGTTTTTGATTTCAGTTTTATGTTCATCTCTAAATATGAAGGTCCAGTTTCGTCTTATGGAATTAAATAGAGCAGTCTGCTTGGAGTGCCCTGAGTATCAGATTCCCTGGTTTCATGACCGCTTCTGTCAACAACAGTATAATAAAGGTTTGCCTTGTCTTTGGGTCAGACAGCAAAATTTAATTCCCAAGTGAATTATTAGTTAGCACCTTGTTAAGCCCAACCTTGACACCAGAGTTACCGAGAGTGCCATGACCTGTTTGATAGAACCATTTTATAGGTGAGATTTGTGTTATAAGAATTTCTTAATATTTAGGACACTAAACCTCTCTGGTAGAGAGCACAGAACTTGTATCGTTCTGAATTTAATACCATTGCATGTGCTATTATATCGAAGCTCTTTTTGAAAATATTAATCTTGATTTTTCGGTTTGTAGAATTGGGTTGATTTTCATTTGAAACTGATGAACTTATTTTAAGTGACCTAATTATTTTTATTTTCATAAAGATATTGGCAGCATGAATGGAGCACAACAGCAGATTTATAAAATGTTAGCAGAGGTGCTGGGAGGAACCAATTGTGTAAAAGCCTCGGTTCTTACGCCTTATTACCACAGAATAGGTGAGTCTGTGGTAGGTTATTAGGTACTCTCAGAAGACTGAACTAATTAAAGTAGAATCATCTCATCAAATGGAAATTTCCAAACAGACCGAAATAGAAGAGTGCAATGATTCCTCAAGTTCCCATGGGCCAGCTTTGATAACCATCAGCATTTTGGTTTTTTTGTTTTAATTTTTTACCAATCTTTCACCAATTCTAAGTAAAACCGATTCAGATTCACTGAACATTTCTAGATCTTCAAAAGTTTTTTTCCTCTCCACTAAGTACCCTAAAGTCAGGGAAATGACTTAGCATCTTTTCATTGTTTTATGTCAAAAACAAAGTTGGATTATCCACCTGGATGAAGATTTCCATAGGTTTGTGCTCAACTCTAAATAAACTCATTAACCTTCTCAGTCGTCTAGTTGTAGAAGGCATTCTGATTTGGTAGTGGGTGACATAAAATTAGTAGGCTAGCTGATAAATTGGATGGCAACATAAGATTTAAAAAAAAATAGCTAAATTCAAGTGGTGGACTTAAAGGAAAAGATGAAATTTTAAGAGAACATAAACTTTCTAAATTTAGGTTTAGAAAACATCTGCATACATACAGGATGTTATATAGGATTATAAGCCTGATATTAACTAATACTGTAAATGGTTGCCAAAAATCAAATACTATTTTAACCTATGTTATTAATAATAAGAAGAAAGCTGGTAGTACCACTGTGTTCTGTCCTTCAGACATTTCTTAGTATTCTTTTTTTTGAGTGTTGCATTTTGTGAGAGACAGTGACAAATGGGGCCTGGAAACAAAGGAGTCTAGAAATCCTGTCTTAGAACTACAGAGGACGGGAACTGCACAGATTTCAATCCTTCAGCAAGTTCCTCAACCTCTGAATATTATTAGTTTCTTCATCTGTAAATGGGGATAATAATACCCGCTTAACAGGGCTAACTGATATATTGTATGAAAAACATTTAGCACTGCCCTTGGAACATAGTGAGGGCTCAATAAATTTTATTAAAAAAAAAAAGCTAGGAATGTTTAATTTGAAAACTGGAAAAATTGTGAGCATAACTTATAATCTTTGAAGGATTATTATGTGAAAGAAGAATTAGATATCTATTTCAGGATAAAAGTATGGTAAAAAGTAAAGGAATCATTTTAAGTCAATAAAAGGAGAATTTTATGAGAGATTTGTCAAAAAATGAAATAATGGGCTGCCTTGTGAAGAAGAAATGTTTAGGCAGAAGCTGGATGATCAGATTGTGTGTTCAGAAGACTGAACCAAATTAGTCATTTATACCCCCATCTTGCACTACAAAACACATTTTCTCAGTTGTTTGGTTTTACATTAGGATTTCATTTGCCTATGAGTGACAGAAATCCACAAATAACAGGAACTTAATAAAGTTTATTTCCTTCTCCCATATGCATAGGGTATCCAGGGCTGGGATGCCAGTTCCACAAGCCTTAAAGATCAAGATCCTTCTATTTTATTTTTAAAATATTTTATTTATTTATTTGTCAGAGAGAGAGAGAGAGAGTGTACAAGCAGGGGGAGGGGCAGGCAGAGGGAGAAGCAGGCTCCCTGCTGAGCAAGGACCCTGATTCAGGACTCGATCCCAGGACTCCAGGATCATGACCTGAGCCGAAGGCAGATGCTTAACTGGCTAAGCCACCCAGGCGTCCCAAGATCCTTCTATTTTATTATAAACTACAACCTCAACATGTAGGTAGCTTCCACTTTATGGTCCAAAATGGCTCCTTGTGCTTTAGCCAACACATCTACAATCTAAGCAGAAGGTGGAGGGAAGGAAATGGAAGGGTGTCCTTTTAAGCACAGTTCCTTGAAGTTGCACATACCATTTTTAATTATACCATATGGCCATACTTGGCCATGAGTGAGTTTAGGAAATGTTTTCATTCTGGGTGGCCATGTACCCAGCTAAGAATTAGGAATTCTATTATTAAAAATGAAGGGAAGTATTAGATATTGGGGGACAACTTGAACTCTCTGCAAGAGGGTCGTTTTAAAATATTGATACAGATCTTCCTTGACTTACCATGGGATTATATCTCAATAAACCCATTGTAAGTTGAAAATATTGAAGTCAAAATGCATTTAGGGGCACCTAGGTGGCTCAGTCAGTTAAGTGTCCAACTCTTGATTTTGGCTCAGGTCATGATCTCAGTGTTGTGAGATCAAGCCCCTCCTGTGGGTCTGTGCTGGGTGTGGAGCCTGCTTGAGATTCTCTCTCACTCCCTCCCTCTGCCCCCCTCCATCCCCCACTTGCACCCTGCTCTTGCACACTCTCTCTAAAAAAAGAAAAAAATGCATTTAATACACCCCTAACATGCTGAACTTCATAGCTTGGCCTAGCCTACCTTAAATGTGCCCAGAACACTTACATTAGCCTACAGTTGAGCAAAATCATCTACAACAAAGCTTGTTTTACAGTAAGGTGTTGAATCATCTCATGTAATTTATTGAAAACTGTACTGAAAGTGAAAAGCAATCGTTCTAAGTTTTTTATCCTCACTACTGCTGCCCAGCATCAAAAGAGATCCAAATTCAAAATCTGAAGTATGGTTTCTATTGAATGCATATCACTTTGGTACCATTGTAAAGTTGAAAAATCATAGGTTGGGGACCATCCATATACTGTTAATCTGTACTATTTAAAATATATCTGTATTTTAAAATATACTCCTGTAAAAATAATGCTCACAGGAGGAAACACACTAAAATATGAATATGAAAATGGTCTGTAATTCCATCTCATAATTTAAAATTATTGAGCACCAACTTTGTGACAGGCACTGTGGCCGGCTCTTTATTCCTGTTATTTCATTTTATTCTTTTTGTTTTGTTTTTGTTAATGTTTCTTTCAAACTATAAATAGTCCTATCTGTGTAAAACATTTGGAAAATACAGAAAAAAAAATCACGCATAACAAATCATGCATAACGTGTAATTAGTACTGAAACTAAGATTACTCTGTCCCAAGACCATTGTATTTCCAATTCATATTTGTACCTCCTGTTGTCAAGAGGCTTATTTTTATGTGAAATGTATATAAATCATTAAAAAAATATTTAATTGGTAATATTTATGTACATGGATTAGCATAATTAAGACAGTATAATAGTATAATTAATAACTATGGGCTAGGGGCACCTGGGTGGCTCAGTCGTTAAGCGTCTGCCTTCGGCTCAGGTCATGATCCCAGGGTCCTGGGATCAAGCCCCTCACTGGGCTTCCTGCTCGTTGGGAGGCCTGCTTCTCTGTCTCCCACTCCCCCTGCTTGTGTTCCCTCTCTTGCTGTGTCCCTTTCTCTCTCTGTCAAATAAATAAATAAAATCTTTAAAAATAAATAAATAAATAAATAACTATGGGCTAGAAGCATTGCTTAAGGTTTTAAAAAAAATTCAGTTAAAAAAAATCACAGGATACCTACTTATAGAAAAACCAGAAAGGACAGATAACAAAAGAGAAATTATCATGATATGACCATTGTTTACTTTTGCTGTCTGTTTTTGTAACTGACTTGTTTGAAACCAAAAATAACTTATACTATAATGTTTGTAGCTATGTTTATATATTGCAAATATTTTTCTGTGCCCAGAAATAATACATTATTTTTAGTGACTGCATACGTATTTCATTGAATTGAGTAAATGATGGTTTATTTAATCCTTAGGGCTTTTTGTAGGTACATGCATCTGTCAAACAGTGCTGCAATTTTCATGTAACAACAGCAATAGAAAATGATATACCTACATACTGTTCATTATGTGTTAGACATTGTTTTAAGTGTTTTATATATACTAAACTTATTATCCCCTACCAGGTACATAAATTATTCTATTTCATAGATAAGGAAATTGAGGCTGAGACATTATTGTTTGCCCAAGGTTATATAGTTGACAAATGGTGGAGCCAGTGTTTGACCTAGGCATTCTAGCTCCAGAATTCATTCTCTCAATGAGAGAACTATATTTCACGTTTGATAATTAGCTCGAAGCTGTTTCAGTGCCCCAGTTTCCCTTATGTATAAAAAGCAGATAATTAAACCTACTCTTCCCTTTTCATTTGTTGTTTCTTTTTTCATTTGTCCTTTTTGTCTTGGTTTAAATACTTTTACAGTTGTTTTTATTACAGAAAAATTTCAAACATATACAAAAAATAGAATAGTATGATGAACTCCCATACAGCATCACCAGTTGTCAACTCACCAGAGTCCCACCTGATCCTTTTCAAGCAAATCACACATATCTTAAAATGTTTATCTAAAAAGATACATAACTACAGTACCATTATTATCACCCCACCGCCATTCATAAAAATTTCTTAATATCATATAGCTTGTCAATGTTCGAATGTCCCAATTGTCTCTTATATGTTTTATTTTAGTTTATTTGTTAAAATTGGGGTCCAGACATTACATTTGGTTGATAGGCCTTTTTAAGTTCTACCTCTTTCTTTTCCCCTTACAATTTATTTATTGAAAAAAAATTTTTTTTTCACATTCTAGACTTTTCAGTTATACCTCTGTTGTATCTCTTAACCTGCTCCTGCATCCCTGGTTTTCCTGTAAGTCACTCCTTAGATCTAGAGGCTTGATTAGATTCAGGTTAAATTCAGGTTGGGTTTTTTTGTTTGTTTGTTTTGCCCAGACTATTTCATAGTCGTATGTACTTCTTATTGTATCATATCAGAAGACATACAGTGCTGGTTGTCTTATTTTTGTTATATTAAAGATTTACCAGCTCGTCCATTAGAAAGTTCTCCTATCAGTTTTTCACCTACAGATTTTATCAGTCATTAAAATTATTGTCTAAATCCATTATTCATTAGGAGTGGTAAAGTAGTGATTTTTTTTTTTTTAAAGATTTTATTTATTTGACAGAGAGAGACACAGCGAGAGAGGGAACACAAGCAGGGGGAGTGGGAGAGGGAGAAGTAGGCTTCCACGGAGCAGGGATCCCGATGCGGGGCTCGATCCCAGGACCCTGGGATCATGACCTGAGCCGAAGGCAGACGCTTAACAATTGAGCCACCCAGGCGCCCCTAAAGTAGTGATATTCAACATCTATCATTTTTTCTGCATTAGCTGGAATTTGTCTAAAAAGAACTTTCCCATACCAACTATTTAGTTACTCTTATGTACAGTTCATACAGGAAAGACAGGATACATGTTTGAATCTTTGCCCTTACTAGTTTTCAGATGAGTAGGTTCAGCTTCCTCCAAATGCTACCAAGAGATTTAAGAGGATTAAAATAAAACTCTTAATGTTATTTGACCTATACCAGCACTAAATATAACTCCGTACTAAATACAGTTTAGTAATACTTGCTGGTTGATTTTTATTGATTGATTTTCAAAGAGAGGTGCCATTGGACCAGATCTTATAAAACAAGTTGGATAATTAGGGAGCTGTACATCATTCTTTCATATGTGTGTGTGTGTATACATGTATATTGCTATATGTATACAAATTTAAAATATTATCTTAAACTTTTAGCTGTAAGCATTTACTTAATTCATACTGTTGATTCCTGTACTTAACAGATTTTGAGTGTATCTTGGATAAAAGAAAAAAAGCTCTTCCATATGGAAGCCACAATATAACTTTGGGAAAACTGCCAGAAATGCACTGGGAATCAAATACCCAAATAACTGGATCAAGACTGCCACCAGGAGCTGAAAGGTAACTTATTTCTTAGTTTCAGATTTTGTTAAACGTTAAGTTTGGCATAATTTAATGAACTCCGTTATCAAGGATCAGTTGTAGGAGAATCTGCTTCTCATTTATCTCCTGCATTCTGCCTCTGTGCCTTTGCTTTTCCTCTGCCTTCGGCATTTATGTCTGTCCTTTACTGTCCAACGCCTGGCAGTCTAACTAAAGTGCTAACCTTCTCATTGTCCTCAGTGGAAGCAAACAGTATCTGCTTTGGAGCTCCCCTACCTCTCCGCTTATCCAGTAGCACTTCTTCCTACACTGTATTGCAGTTACTTAATATGTATCCCATGTTGTTAGACTATAAGCTATTCTCTATGTTTGTATCCCTCACGGTGCCTTCCATATGGTAGTTGCATGGTAAATATATATTGGACAAGGAAACGAATGAAAACATGGAGATTTTTACTCTAATTTGGTGTAAATTATAATGAATAGGCTTACTTGTCATCAATTACTAATTTAAGTAGAAAAATAGAATACTCATTTATATTCATTTGTTTTTTGTATAAATTAATTTATAAAGATGCAACTTTTTTTTCTCCACTTTTTTTTTTTTTAAGATTTTATTTATTTATTTGACAGAGAGAGACATAGCGAGAGAGGGAACACAAGCAGGGGGAGTGGGAGAGGGAGAAGCAGACTTCCTGTGGAGCAGGGAGCCCGATGCGGGGCTCAATCCCAGGACCCTGGGATCATGACCTGAGCCGAAGGCAGACGCTTAACGACTGAGCCACCCAGGCGCCCATAAAGATGCAACTTTGTTCCTGAAAGGCTTGTAATTATTGTTTCTCGTTTTGATTTCAGAAGCAAATTTTTTTTATCTTCTGTAGGATTGCTCTGCAATTTTTGGATTCAAGAGCTTTTTGTAGAAACATCCCTCACTTGAAAGGAAAATCTGCTATGAAAAAACGACAGTTGGAAATTTTGGGCTATCATGTAATTCAGGTATGAAATACTCATGTAATTTAGCCTCTAAAAAACCCCTCAGGGAACTGGCTGTACATATGTTTCCTTTTTTAAAAATTGGAGTATAATTAACATACAGTGTTTCAGGTATCCAACATAATGGTTCAACAATTCTCTACATTACTCAGTGTTCACCACGATTAAGTGTAGTGATCATCTGTCACCATTTTTTCAGTCTTATGGACTACATTCCCTATGCTCTACTTTTCATCTCTGTGACTTATTTTGTAAGTGGAACTTTGTACCTCTTAATCCCTTTTATCTATTTCACCCATTCCCCCTCTAGCCCTTGATAACCACAGGCCTGTTCTCTGTATTTAAGTCTGTTTTTTTGGTCTCTCTTTTTCTTTGTTCATTTGTTTTGTTTCTTAATCACATATGAATGAAGTCATATGGTATTTGTCTTTCTCTGTCTGACTTAATTTAACTTAGCATTATACCTTCTAGGTCCAACCAGTATGTGTTCCCTTTTAATGTGGAAGTTCTAGAATTACCTTTTTTTAATATTAAAAAAAGTTATATTAAAATATCTCTGAAACAGAACATCCTTCATTTTTCTTGAATAGTAAATAAAAATCATTTTATTTTATTCTCTCTAGAAGATCTATTGGTTTTTTTATTTATCTTATGAGAGGCACTGTGGAGATGGGTAGAGATACAAGAGAAAAAGGCTAGTATATGTATGTTGGAAAGGTAATAGGAAGAATGTCTACTGTTGGTATTGTAGGAACAGGAGGATTAAAGGAACTGTAAGGAAGAAGTAGGTCTCTGGGCTTTACCAGGAAGAAAGACCGACTTGGCTTCTAAAAATCGTTTATGTTTATGTAAACTAATTTCACAGGTTCCTACAGCTCAGCTCAGTGGTGCTTACAAGTCTTCCCTGATGTCTTTTTGTTGTTGCTTTAAAATTTCCATTCAAACTACATGGCTTATTTTACAGATCCCGCATTTTGAATGGAACTCTATGGCATTGTCAACAAAGGAAGCTCGGATGGACTACCTGAGAGAACGTATATTTGGAGAAGGCAAATCATGATTGTAGTTTTTATTTAAAATTAGTGACGATGGTGTGTCACAACTGAACTTATTTTAATTAAGTGGCCTGACTCAATGAAAAAATAATAGTACAGAATTGATTGATTTGAAGGTCAGTTGAATACCTATTAAAATAAACAGACATTTTAATTTCTCCAGTATTTCTTTACTATCTGGTTGGGAAATTGTATAAAATTCTTAATATAAAGGACTTGTAGCTTTTAAGAAACTTAAATAGTTTATAATTCATTCTTTGTCTACTAAGTGCCAGAAAGTGTTGTAGATGCTGGGGATATAGCAGTGAATGTAGCGTATTTGCCATGGGTAGAGTCAAACAAAATAAATGAATAAATTACATTATACCATAGATGATACTAAGTGATATGGAGAAAGATTTGGGGGAGAGGGGATAGGAATATTTTGGGTAGGTATAATTTTAAATAGGGTGATCTGAGGACTCACTAAGGTGGTATTTGAGTAAAGACTTAAGGAGGTGAGGCTAACTGGCAGTAGAGTATTCCAGGCAGAGAGACCAATAGGTACAAAGATCCTGAGGTAGGAATATGCCTGGCATATTTGAGAATAACAAGGAATCCTCTGTGGCTAGAGCAGAACAAGTAGGAGGTTGAGGGTAGAAGTGTAATAGGAGAAAAGGTAAAATAGAGTCAAATACATATGACCTGACCTCATGGCTATGGTGAGTGAGATAAGCAGCCATTGGAGAGTTTCTATAAAGGAATGATAACCCATGTTTTATTTTTTTTAATTTTTATTTATTTTTTATTTTTTTATTTATTTGAGACAGAGAGAATGAGAGACAGAGAGCATGAGAGGGAGGAGGGTCAGAGGGAGAAGCAGACTCCCTGCCGAGCAGGGAGCCCGACGCGGGACTCCATCCCAGGACTCCAGGATCATGACCTGAGCCGAAGGCAGTCGCTTAACCAACTGAGCCACCCAGGCGCCCAAGAACCCATGTTTTAATTGAATCACTTGGGCTACTCTGCTGAGATGGGAAAAGACTGCAGTGAGGCAAGTGTATAAGCAGGGAAACCCATTAGAAGATCATTGCAATAATCCAGACAAAAAATAGATGGTTGGTGGGGCGCCTGGCTGGCTCAGTCAGTAGAACATACAACTCTATCTCAGGGTCTTGAGTTCAAGCCCCACATTGGGCATGGAGCCTACTTAAAATAAATAAGTAAAAAATAGATGGTTGGCTTAGAGTAGTAGCCGTGGAAGTAAAGAGAAGTGCTCAGATTTTTTTTATGTATTTTGAAGGCAGAGGCAACAAAATTTGCTCACTGATTGGATATGAAGTATGAGGGAAAGGAGTCAAGGATAATTCTAAGTTTTTGTCCTTAGCAACTAAAAGGATGTTATTGCTATTGACTGAGATGGGAAAGTCTACGGGAGGAAGAAGTAGGAGGTGCAGTGGGTGGGAGGATCATGAGTTTGGTTTTAGACATGTTGAGTTTTTGATGCCTTTTTATTTTTTTTAAAGATTTTATTTATTTGTCAGAGAGAGAGTGTGTATGTGTGCACAAGCAGGGGGAGTGGCAGGCAGAGGAAGAAGCAGGCTCCTTGCTAAGCAAGGAGCCTGATGCAGGACTCGATCCCAGAACCCTGGGATCATGACCTGAGCTGAAGGCAGACGCTTAACCGACTGAGCCACCCAGGCGTCCCTGTGATGCCTTTTAAACATCTGAAGTGGAGATATCAAATAGGCATTTTAATGAGTTTGGAGAAGGCAGAGGTCCAGGGCCAGATATAAATTTGGAAGTTGTCAGCAGTATTTAATGTGATGAAAGTAGATGAAATCACTAAAATGTGATTAGAGGAGAGTGTGAATGGAGGAGAAGTCTGAGGACTCAGCTCCAGGTGCCCCAACATGAGGTCAAGAAGAAGAGAAATGAGCAAAGGAGGCTGGGCAGGGGTGGCCAGTGAGGTAGGAGGGAAAGTCATAGGTAGTGATACTTCCTAGAAGCCAAGTCGAGAAAGCATTTCAAGGAGGAGGAGGTGAGCAGTTGTATCAGATACTGCTGATGGCTTAGGTAAAGTGAGGACTGGGAAATGTCCATTAAATTTAGCAGCATGAAGATCATTGGTAACCTTGAAAAGAGGAGTTTTGGGAAAGGGGTATGTGTGAAAGCCTGACTGGTTTAATAGAAAGTGGGAGGAGACAGGTTTTGTTTTGTTTTGTTTTTTAAATAAATGGAAAAAAAGATATGGAGTGGGAAATGGACTGATCTTGACCTGGTCTGATCCTACCCATGATGGGGGAATAATGATTTTCTCTTGTCTTACAACACATTTATTCAATAAAATAGTTACTAAGGGTCTACTATGTGATATAATCCCTAACCTTTCTTCCAATAGTGATGTATTTGTGCTGGGCAGAAAGCCATGTTGTAACTATCCTCAGGCCACCTGGTGGGAATGTAGGTAATTAGCATCTGAAACTTGCTGTCTTCTGACTTCATGACCATCTAAGTTCATTTAAGCTGGTAGCCAGAGTGCCTTGAGTCTTTTTTTTTTTTTTAAGATTTTATTTATTTATTTGAGAGAGAGAGAATGAGAGACGGAGAGCAGGAGAGGGAAGAGGGTCAGAGGGAGAAGCAGACCCCCTGCTGAGCAGGGAGCCCGATGTGGGACTCGATCCCGGGACTCCAGGATCATGACCTGAGCCGAAGGCAGTCGCTTAACCAACTGAGCCACCCAGGCACCCTTGAGTCTTAAGCATAGCTATAAAACATGTGTCCTGCATAGATTTTGGTCTGTTGATATTTGATTTAGGTGTAGTTGAAGTACTTGTTCAAAATATTGTTACTTCGTGGAATGCCTGCATTGCTCATTTGGTTAAGTGTCTGCCTTCGGCTCAGGTCATGATCCCAGGGTCCTGGGATTGAGCCCCGCATCGGGCTCCCTGCTCAGTTGGGAGCCTGCTTCTCCCTCTGCCTGCCAGTCCCCCTGCTTGTGAGCACTCTCGCTCTCTCTCTCAAATAAATAAAATCTTAAAAACAAAAAAAATCATTACTTTGCATGATGTGAAACCCAATACATAATCGTTTTGCAACATGTAAACTTCACAGAACCTTTTGTGAAAAACAGGATCAAAACAGTAAGCAAATGAAAGATGTCTCCCCTAACCATTCTCCCTCATTTTGGATTTCCTTATGATATTCATTTGTATTAGCTGAAATGCTAAATTCTAAGTGTTTGTCTTCTATATTCATGAATGTGTTCTCTTTCCCAAGCAAATTATGAGAAATAAACCCTGAATAGGTTAAAATATTTTACTCAGCAACTTTTAGAATAAAATGATTAGACTGATGAGGATTATAAATTGTTTCTTTTGGATATAAATGAAAACCCAGTTATAGTATACTTTGAATACATGGAAATCTTGATTAAATGACCCTGTTGTACCTTTCACTTACTGTTACACATACTCTGATGTCTCATGTACCACATCTCTTACTGGTCTTCCTCTAGGCTGCCTGATTCAAATGGTTTTCTTTATATATATACTCTTATATTTTGTGTTTGATGGTTTTCCTGTTTACATAACTGGAGTTGTTAAAAGCATTTTTTTAAAGCATTCTTTTTTTCATTGAAATATAATTAACATACCATAAAATCCACCCTTTTAAAAATATACAATGCAGTGGTTTTTAAAATATTCACTTTTGTGCAACCATTACCACTATTTGATTCTAGAACATTTTCATCATTGCAAAGTATTATTTTTACAGTTTAATCTCATGTCTGTATAGATCAGCACTCTCTGCCCAATAGTAACCACTCTCTTGCTTTTATAGTAAGCACTTCCTGTAACAGTTTTTATCACTCAGGTTTGCATCTCTATAGACACCATAATTTGCACCTCCCCCGCTTTTAAGTGTGTCTTAATCTATAAGCATCTCTCACCATCCCTTTCTCTTCCAGTTTTTCTGCTGAACAACCTGTGGAGTTTCCCACCCTCAGGATTTGTTGATTGTATAATCGTGGTATAGTCTAGAGCAGTATTTGTCAATACAGAAAAGTACCCAGGATTCTACTTCAGAGATCCAAAGTAAAACTGGTTTTTATTGGATGTTTCCATAGAGACAATAAAGCTGTATGAACACTCACCTGTTCTTTATGAAATTGCTTGAACACTCCAAATTAGTTCCAAGTCAGGTTTCTCAGAAAATAAGATGTGTAACGATAGAAGTCAAACATGTCTATGAAAGCATGTGAAACCCATTAGTGATGCTTAGTTGATGATTGCAGAGTTGAATGTGATGGTTGTGGACAGACCGAGGTGTCAACTTAGTGTGTACACTAAGAACGACATCTTGAATATGGTGTTTTACATCCCAGAAAATGCAATGATACAGTCACCTTTCTTTCTATCAAAAATTTGTGAATAGGTAGCTCTTTCATGGAAAAAATAGATAAAACTTAAACCAACAAATACACACCCTCCTCCAGTACCCTCACTGGCCCCAACTAATGCCCAGCAATTTAAAGAATCAATTCATTTCCTAAAGACAATCCTTAACCCTTCTATCACAGATACTGTAGTTAGGAGCTTGAAGACTGTGGTTTACTGGTTTTAAATTAAAAAAAAAATTAAATTTGATTTAAATCATGAACAATATGCTAGTATCACAAAAGGAATGGAGAAAAAAGACCCCTTGAATTTGACTACTTAGAGATTTTTCTCCTTCAGATGAGACCCACTTATTATACTTCTTAAAAAGCATTTCCAAAGTTTTCTCATGGCATGTAATCTTTAACATAATGCATAGGATTCTTGTCATATCTTGAAGCACAAGGGAAAGTGATATTTGATACTTTAAACATTAAAATGTAGATGTACATATTTCTTTCCAATTTAATTTATAATAAAAAATGAGTGTGAAGTTACCGTAACAATGCAAATGAAAGAATTAGTAAACAACTCAAATTTAGAAACATTTACAATTGATTGAGACAGATTAACAAAAGAAATAATCCATTCAACTTAATATTTAATTTCTTACTAGAAAATGGTTTTAAACAATGATCATTACACCAAAGATTTCAGTGACTTTGAGGTTTTGATGCCCACTGCTAACCTCATGGACAGTTATTTAGTGAATAATTTCTACATGAATCTCTGCATAGGCTTTTGAAAACAGAGTAAATTAAAGCCCTATTTCCAAACAAAACACATCCCATTCTATTGTGTTTTTTCACCTCCCTGTTTACAGTTTAGACAGTTTGAAGAGGTTTAAACGTGTTGCTAGGCAACTAGCTCCTGAAGCATAACGTATTTCCTTCAACATCCCAGCCCATTCTTTCTTATCATCTTCATACCTGATGGAGAAAAGAAAAGTAATCAATAAGCAGTTTTTAAATAGTTCTGTAGGTCTCCTTGTATTAAATATACAAATAAGGGTTTTCGAGAAAACCCTACTGGCTCTTGTCCAGAGGAGCATGCACCTGACTGGTAGAGTAGCATTTGAATTCCTCCCCAAATATGCCTTCTCTGAATGAGCGTATGTCTGAACTTCCTGCCATGGTATTTAATCGGGATGCTTAGGCAGTTAAGCCTTTTCTGGGGATCAAAGACTGTTCAGAGATGAGGAGTAATCAACAGTTAAGCAATCAGTTATTCACCTTTGGACAGATTATGATGGCTGGTCTCTGAGTCAAGGTCAGCAGACTACCTTAAGAGTAAGAACTGGGAAGAACAGGGATGGCAGGTTGCCTTGATTATAATTTCAATTGTTCCAATATACTTGTGTGGAGCATGGCACCTAACAGTAGGGATCCCTCCGAAGAATCCATTCCCCTCCTGCTTTAATGTCCCGTGTGAGGACTACTCTTAGATTTTGCACTTGGTGTTAGGTGAGAACTAACATTGGGTTGTTTCCTGCGGGGACTAGTCACGGTTATAAAGATGCAGGCAACTTGAATTGCTTTGAAATATGTGTGCCTCTCTTCTGCCTGGTGCCTGGAATGCCTTCTCTGCCTGACGAATTCCGAAACGCTGCCTTTTCTCTGAAGCCTTTCTCGCCCTCCTCAAGCAGAGTTCGTAGTTTCCCCTCGTTTCTCATGTTGTCCTTTGTATAGTATCTATTATAGCAGTTATCATTCCTTTAATTTTTTCCCCTATATTTATGTTCTCAACAAGCTCAAGGGTACTTGAGGGCAAATAACATCTTATGCATTTTAGTATCCTCCCTCCTTCAGAAGCTATCAATAATTGACCCATAGGAAATACCCCCAAATCATTCGATGATGATGAATAAGATTTAAAGTAAAAAATTAAAAAAGTTGGCTAATACCTATGTAAGATATGTGCTATCTGACTTAATTTCATCAGTGGTCCAAATTTAATCTTAATATTTGCACTGAGCACTAAGTGATTTTTATGTTGAGAAAAGTAGACAAAAATATTTTACCACTAATAAAGGGAAGAACCCTTAATTATCTCTACAAAATTTGGGGCAACACACTAAGAGATAAGGAATAGTTTTAAAGACCTAATGAAAAAGTGACCACATTTAAGCAATAGGAGGTTAAATGAGTCTTAAAAGCATTTGCTTCCTAGCAGTTATATTTTTACTTTCAGCTTGGCCAATCCTAAATAATGGGAAGATTTCAATAAAAAATACAAGAATAAAAAAAGGTTTTTACACATCACACCAAGAGGGTCTCTAGGTTTAGAAGGTGCTATACCGGTATACCGATAGTTTTCGTCTTTGAATTTCATCTCTGCATGTGTGGGTAGATTCACTAGGAAGTTGAGGACAAGTGGGCCGCCACCTTTCTGCAGGTCAGTTGCTGTCAATGTTAGCACACATCTGAGTCACCTGGAGGGCTTGCTCAAACACAGACTGCTGGGCCCCATCCCCAGAGTTTCTGTAGATCTGAGGTAAGGTCTGAGAATTTGCATATTTAACAAGTACCCAGGTGGTGCTGATGCTGCCTTGGGAACCACAGCAGATCACTGGTTCTCAAACTTGACTTGCACATTTGGAACCACCTAGAGACATTAAAAATACTGATGCCTGGCTCTCACCCCCAGAGATCGACTTAACTGGTATGGCATGTGGCCTGGGCATGATCATTTTTTAAAGTTTCCGAAGTGATTTCTAATATGCAGCAAGATTTGAGAATTATTGCCCTAGATTTTATCACCCGCGCGGAAAACACCCATACCTAGATTAAAAATTTTACAGCCAGACAGACAGTGATGAATTCATTCTTGCCTTTCCCCAGTCTGGTTGTTCCCAAACTTGTCTGCACATGAGACTCATCCAGGGGTCTTTTGAAAGTTTCAAAGCCCAGACTATACTGTAGACTAATTAAATCATAGTCAGTAAGGTAGGACAGAGGGGACAGTACTTTTTGAAGCTCCCGAGGTGAACCTTGGGAACCACTGCCCTACTTGCAAAATACACCATCATCAGAGAGGATCCCTTTTTCAGGCTCCCCTCAGCAAGGTAAGGGCTACTTTTAGCAGAGATGCTCTCTCTCCTTTGCTGCCTACAACATGCTCCTGCTCAAACAACTTGGCTTTTGGTCACCGTTAGGAAGCGTACAGGCTCATGTGGGATTCAGCTGATTGATGGCACCATTCCCTAACATCAGTGTTTCTCAACCCTGGCTGCCTATTCGAATCACCTGAGAAGGTTTTAGGACCTAACTGCAGAAATCCTGATTTAATTGGCCTGCACTGAGGTCCAGGTGCTGGTATATTTTAAAAGCATCCCAGGTGATTTAAATGTGCAGCCAGGGTTAAGAATCACTGCCTATTCACTGTTGGTATTTATCCCTGTTTTCCAAAAACCTGATCTTCTCAGCCCTCCATTAATTCATTCTTTTTTTCCTACTGCTTCCAGTCTTTTTCCATCTCAACTTCTCCCTAAGTCTCACCTCTTTCTTCCCTGGAAATTTCCACTTTCTTTTTCTTCCTCCTCCTTTTTTGGGGGGAGATGAGTTAATAGTCAACTTCCCTTTATAGCCACTTTTTTTTTCTTGCCCTCTACACAGCTAGTTACTATTACAACAACACTAGGAAATGATGTTTGATGCATAAAATAATTGCTTGGTTAAGCCATGGGCCTTTCAGCCTTCCTGTTCACCAGGGAATAAGGCATGTGCTGGGTCAGGTATAGAACCAATACCACTTCCACTCTCAGCCTTGGTGGTATGCCTTCATTGATCACTCTTCTAAAGCTGTACCTACAAATTTAAATGTGCATGCAAATCACCTGGGAATCTTGTTAAAATGAAGTTTCTGATTAAGTTTGGGGTGGGGCCTGGGATTCTGCATTTCTAAGCTCTCAGGAGATGCTACCACTGCTGGTCATAGACCGTCCTTTGAGTATGTCTGAGGTTCTGGACAATCTGGTGACAGACCAGGTAAGGGCATCCATCCTTGAGAGTGAGGACTGGCCTTCAAGCATGAGTTTGGCAATTTCTGATGAGTGTACAGTATGAATTCACTAATGCTCACCTCAGGCAACTGAGATCTACCTCCTATAAATTTTTCTCAGCAAGCACAGTTCCTGGGCTGAAGGCAGCAGGCACCATTTGGCAGACCATGCGGTATCCTAAGGTAACTAGACATCTGCATACTGTATGCCCTGCCCAACTATGT